CAAAAAAACATGATTCTTTTGAATGCTATGACAAATGAATAAAGACAAAATGCAAATATTAAAATATAAACAGACTAAAGTTATAGCAACAATGTCAGGCTATTACGTACCCTATAGACCGCCTCCGTGGTGTAGTGGCTAGAGCACCCGCCCGGAGAGCGGAAGGTCGCAGGTTCAATCCCCGACCGCGTCATATCAAAAGACATTAAAATATGGTACTTGTTGGTCCCTGCCTGGCGCTCGGCATTAATGGGTACAACAAGAACTGGTCGGCTTGGAGTCAGTATAATGTGTCTGAGTGGGGTATTCATGCTTCACTGCGGCATGATATCTCAGTGGACTTGCACTATAAAACCAGCTTAAGTCTGGGCTAGTACAAGCAGCCGCACATACACACATATTCTCAAGCACGACGTTAAACCCAAATTCACCTCACCTCACGTACCTTGTTCGAGGAATGTATCCATCAAAAACCACATAAAGGAATGATATACCGTTCATCTGCAGCTGACAAAGAATCCTGTTCCATGTCATGTGTCTTTTAACAGTCTAATACGGGAAAAAATGATATATCGTTTCAGTTTTTTCACATTGGTGTATAATCTCCCTGGTCACCCAAGATAACACACCTGGCAACTAATTGCATGATGTCTGCCATTAAAGTAATTTAGTTAGCCAATAATGAGCAATCAATCAACGTATTGGGGGGGCATGGTGGGCGAGCTGGCTAAGGCGCCAGGCTAGTGATCCTGCGGGCATGAGGTGCCTGGATCGAGCCCACGTGTGACCGGGTGTAAAAACCTTGGAGTCAACTTTGTGTGCACTCTTTCAGTGTTGTCACAACCCCTAGTGTACAGTACACAACCCTGTGCACTTAAAAGAACCCACAAATCAGTTGGTATATGACCAGATGGTGGCCACATGAATACGTGCAAACACCTAGTTGTGGGTACAGCAACGTACAGTAAACTTGGACAAAGTTCTGTGACTATGTGTCCCAGTCCACCCAGCTGTGAATGGGTACCTCGTAAAGATTGGACAGCCGCAATAACTCAGTGTGCCTTGTGGCAGCACGAGTTGTATGACCCCAGGGAGTTGAGATTGATAATAAGATGTGCCGTTGAGATTGACATCCAATGATCGAGGGAACAAAATACTAGCGCCTTGAGCATGCACTAGTGCAAGGATATGTGCGCTATATAAATGTAACATGTGACAAATGACACTCAAAACACTACCTTTTGACAAATCCACTGTGCAAGAAAAAAGCAATTAATCAATCAGTGTGTTATCGGTTTATCCCTTGATCAATGTTTGTTTTTATAATTCAGGTGATAATTTGTCTTGCTGCACTTCCATGCGCATATTACATAACATGAAATACATTTGCCACATAAGACCTTTATTCATAATGCTGAGTATTTAGTCCAGACATGAGAAATACTGAATGGGAACATTTGTGGGGTAATCTGAGTGGTATTACCACTAGTTATAAATTCATTGACTGACCATCAAGTGAACGATGACAAATATCATGTGTAGGTTTATACCACGAAACATGTTTTACAGCAATGGAGTAGTAATCACTGTTTTGAGGATACGAACGGAACTTCATTGTTGCGTAAGAAATACATATAAGCATTTGCTGGGAACTAAAGTTAAAATCTGCACATATCTAAACTCATGGGCCAAAGAAAGTATAGGACTGGAAAAAAAATGTTTTCACTGTCATTGACATGGTTATGAGAATTAGACATGCTGGCAATGTTGGCCCCACTACTGGGAAGGGAAATACACCGCCAAAACGCAACACGTTTGAACGGTGAGAGTGATGACGTCACAAATGTGGAAAGCATGTTCCATGCTCCTAGCACACAATGCACGTACAAAGTTTCTATATAAATGCGATGCATCGGTCCCGTCATATCACAGCTGCTGAAAACACATGAAAAGTATGCCACAACTGACACCAGAACAGAGAGAGAGGGCCATAGGTATGTCCGATATGGGAGCGACGAACGTCAGAATTGCAAGGAGATTTGGTTGTACGCCACTGACGATTTATAAGACTCCTCCAACGATTCAGACAGACAGGTCGAACACAGGACAGGCCGAGGAGTGGACGTCCACCTATAACCAGCGCACGTGAAGATCACCATATACGCCTCCGAAATCGATTTGTTACGGCAACGTTAACGGCAGAAACAGTGTTGGGACGTTGCATCAGTCGAAGGACTGTCCTCAGACGTTTGAGAGCAGGTGAAATACGTTGCTATCAGTCATTCCGTGGAATGAGACTAACTCAACAACATCGACTTGAAAGACTGCAATGGGCAAGACGAGTATACCGCTGGCAAGTGCGTGATTGGCATAGGGTCTTCATCCCGGATGAAAGTCGGGTTTGTCTGCACAAAAAATGACGGCTGACAGAGTTTACAGACGACGGCGTGAACGTTTTGCAGCAGCATGCATTCAAGAAGTCCATGCCTATGGTGGAGGTGGTGTGATGGTATGGGGTGGCATTATTGGCGACCAAACGACACCGTTGGTCGTTATTCAGGGGAATTTCAATGCTAATGAGTACCGAAATCAAGTCTTGCAGCCTTTTGTCTTACCTTTCTTGAACAATCAACCAAATGGTGTATTGTTTCAGCAAGACAATGCAACTCCCCATAGAGCAAGAGCGACGAGAAACTTTCTTCATCAGAATAACGTTAATGTTCTACCCTGGCCTTCTAGATCACCAGATATGAATCCGATCGAGCATTTGTGGGATCATTTGGGAAGACAAATTCGTTGTCGTCATCACCCTCCACAGACAAGACAAGAGTTGGACTGACTGACTGACTGAGTTTGGTTTTACGCCGCTTTTAGCAATATTCCAGCAACATCACGGCGGGGGGACACCAGAAATGGGCTTCACACATTGTACCCATGTGGAGATTCGAACCCGGGTCATCGGCGTGACGAGCCAACGCTTTAACCATTAGGCTACCCCACCGCCCAGACAAGAGTTGGAAGTGGCACTGAGGGACGAATGGCAGCGACTGCCAAATGCCGTCACCCGACGCTTGACGTCATCGACGCGACGATGTGCACAAGCGTGCCACCATGGCGGACACACACGCTACTGACGTTATGATCGTTCTGGAACAAACTTTTCTGTCTTTTGTGTGCGCAATTCGTCAAAGGAATATCATTGTAACTTTGATATTTACCCCCCATACTGTTTGAATGTTAATGTCACCCTTCAGTTCTTTCAACCAGGTGATGATTTGTACACACAGCAAAGTGCAAATGAATTTGCTACAAATTACATCTATTACATAATCCAAATCTCGTGTTGTTTCTGTTTTACTGATCTTTAAAATGACCTATACCAGTGTAGGAAAGATGTATAAAATCTAGCCTGTCCACAGGACTGGCAGGTCAAATTTTTTACCAGTCCTGCCAAAATCTAGCCTTTCCTCCAAATATAAATAAAACACCTTCGGCAGTAAATATTCAAAAAGGTTATAAGCATTATATATATGTCATTGGTTTGCTAAAATTGACCCGACATGAGGACGGACTAGATATTTTTTTAACCTGTCCTCCAAAAAATTCACCCGTCTCGGACGTTGGGATGGGCTATCTTTCCTACACTGCCTATACTTTCTTTTGCCCATGAGTTTATTTACATAAATATATTTACTATTTAAGTAAATTTTCAGATTTTTCTAGCAATGGGGTGGGGTTATTCAGTTTACGGATTCAAATAAATCAAATGTGTGTTTTTAATCTCATAGGTAATGGACTTCATATTTTTACATGACATGATTAAACATCGAGGTAAAAAACACAGAAAAAGGATCAAATTGGATCAGTCATTATACCATCCACGAATTAGAAAATCCCCCAAAAAACTTACACTGCTGGGATACTACAATCAGACAGAACTGCAAGAGATATTTACAAATTACAGCATCTGATGGGCATCCAACCTTCCTAGCTACTGTCCCACTGTTTACATTGAAGAAATTCTGCCAGGGTGGACAGTAGCCCAGTCCCCGTGTCCATCACGGTCGAGGGAGCAGAGGCTGACCAGCTTGCAGCTAGGATTTGTACTTAGATTGTTTGCGTGAAACATTAATCGCTCTGGATCAGTGCTCCTTTAAATATATAAGCTTAAGGCAAAACTATACTTTATTAAACTAAAAATGAGCACAGGTAAAACTGTATTTCTTAATTCAGGTGTCATAATTTGTTCAAATCAACAAGCACGCTGATTTTCAGTTTCATTGGCCAAGAGATATGGAGGAACAGATGTTTACATGTTCACAAACAAGCACTCCCCAACAAACAATTAAGTCCCCATAAGCTTGTTTGGTTTTTGGTGGCATGTACATCTGCTAAACCATGTGATCCTCACAACTCCTACTTCGGCAGGAATAATCCTACAAAACAGTACTGTTTGTTTTTTTGCTTGCTTGCTGTTTGATGTTGCACACAGCAATATTCCAGTTATATGGTGGCGGTCTGTAAATAAAAATACTGGTACATTTATTCAATCAATATTGCAGCTGTCTGAAACTGTTGTCATTGAGTAAGATTTATACAATACCAAGCTGTCTATAATTTTCTATTTCCAAATGTTAGGTTACGCCAGACCAATTTTATTTCTTGTTTTATGGATCCGCCGGTCATATTTTTTCAAAATAAGAGAAACAATAAAAACTAATTTTCCCCGCTCAAAAAATAAAATCCTAATGTTAATGTGATAGACATGTACGTGAAATACTCTTGAAATCAGTGTGAAACCTAAACTCACTCAACTTATTTTTAGTTGATATAAACAAACCAAGAGAGTTAACATGGAAACACATGTGGGTTTTTTGCTTTGACTGGTAATTTAAAAAAAACCCCATCCCTCCTGCCTTTAGGTCATCTGAGGAAAAAAATCTGTAAAACAAGAAACAAAATTGGTCTGGCCTTAAAGGGAGAAAAAACAATAAAGAAAACAAGCTAGTACATTTGTTTATTTACAATTCTTGTTCACTGTTTTCTTAAAAATGTAAGCTTAGCTAATCATGTGCAATAGTGTATATCAGATCATCCAATACAAATATAAAATAAAGACCAGGTAACCCTTGTTACACATGATGCATGTGTTGCAACAAGCACCTTCTCCGGTGAGCAAAAAAGGCTTGATATGTCAAGCAATACCTTGATGTACAAAATATAACATCATACTAAATTGTGCACCATTATAATTGATACAGAGGTGAAAAAATAAAATGATCTAAATAGTTGTGCAGAATTTGTCTGACAACCAGTCAGTTCTATGTCAGTCAGATCTCATCAAATAACCTTGTCAAACATATATGTACATAAAATAATGAAGAGGTGATAACAAACCATAAATAGAACATTATCACACTATGTAATCACAGATTCTTTGAGTTTTAACAGCAACATATATTGCAAACTAAATACATATAGGCACACAGTTTGAGCAAACAAGAGAATTCCCACTATATTAGTTTAGAAACAACCTCCCAACACAATAATTCTTGCTACAACAATCCCAGAACATGGAAACGTAAATTTTGTAAATTTCACAGTCTTCTATGGTGATTATCAGAACAAATGATATAAGCAAAACTGTCCTTACAGGTAATTTGAAAATGTGACAAATACAAATGAACACTATACCTGCATCATAATTGACAATGCAGAATTTTCATCTTTGTTACAAACCACAATCGCAACCACAAACCTTCCATGACCTTCTGCAACAGAAAATGGCTGCCTGTTACACACAACAGTTATGTCCAAATATGGCCATTTGATCATTCAATTTCAAAGTGTGATACCTTGACGTAATCAGTGTTTAACAGTGGCAATGAATACTTGATTAACAAAGAAGGCAGCATACACAAGAGGACACCTGTGATTCATTAGGACAGATGAAACAGTCTTCTGCAATTATACAAATCAGTATATTCAGTAGTTTGTGTACACACTTCTCATTATGTTAATGAAAAACCCACATCAAATTAACTCAAAATAAAACACCATTTCACTATAACTTTGATGAAAGTTGATTCACCGTGGAGTTCAAAACAAGGATAGTTCACAAATGTTTTTGTGGTGAAATAAAACATTAACAATATTGATTGTGCCATGTCCATCCAAGAAATCCAATCACCTTGGAAGAATCTGATTCCAAAGATATATCATTTCACTGAGCAAAATATTACCATCTGAGTTAATGAATAAACATATGAGATGCTTAATCTCACAAGTATATACATTTTGATATCTAAGCTTTCAGTGAGGTATCTCTGGAAATTCCATTCCTTGTGTAAAATGTGTCTGCCACAATTTTTGTGCGACCATGGGCTGGTTTCTTAATTTCCTCTTTCTTTATCACATCTCCAAGTCTCCATCCGTATTCCCATGAGCTGAGAAGGGGAAAATCGTACTTTTGTTCAGGAATCTTCTTATATCTCTTCTCCAAGTACTGGTACCGACCCCTCCCTTCTTTTGTAAACCCATCATACAGGCCTGATTTTGTTTTGGGTGTAACAGGTCTCATTTCTGCTCCAGGGTTCAAAGAGGTGGTTGCACGTTCTGCCATCATGTCCACTAGATTAGCTTTCTTCTTATTATATCGAGTCTCACCTACAATTGTTGGCAACCTCTGTAGTAATGCCTCGGATGGTTTGGATCCTTCTTCGATTTTACGTCTGAAAACATCGAACTGTTTGGGCTTCTTCGACTCAGACTTCTCACACTTGAAATGCCATTTCAGGCGTGCATCTCTTTCCTTGTTGTACGACTCAGTTAGAAAGTTCTGGTGCTGAGTTGAAAAATTGGGATTTCTGCAAGCCATCTTTGATACTTTGGTCAACCTTTAACTGTTGTGTACTGCGGATCTGCCTGCTAATAGTTATAGTTTTCGATCCCTCGTTACCTTCTGCGTCGTCTGTTGCCCTGGTAGCACTACGTCACAATCTCGCGAGAACACATTTATCTCCCGTTTGAGACAAAATGGCGCCTGAGTGGCCAGAGGAAGTGGATGTCTTTACGGTTCCCCACTCACGCATGAAACAACTGGTTCACAAGTATTTAGATATGGTATTGTTTAAGTCCAATCCTTATTACATTCACAGCAATACTGTTGTCACTTGACACCTTAGTCCCAATCAAGCATGGTATGGGCTTATCTTGATAGACCTTCGGTTTTCGCTCTCCCGACCCTTGCCGAGAGACGCGATACGGTCCTTTAGGGCTTTACTGTCAAGACATGACCCTGCATCGCGGATTAGAACATAACCTTCATCAATCCTATTCAGATTGTGGGTGTTACTACCCTTCGTATATTCTTGAGATTTAAAAAAAATTAATCCTGTGGACGTTTGGCTTAAACCGTTGATATCTATATAGGATACTGCCAGATCACTCACCCATCTGTAACAATTGTTTTACCTGAAAGTTAAATAGAAAGCATGCTAACCCGTTCACTGACATCTTTACATGCGCCATTTATCTATGATGCATTTCGGAATGGGCATTTCTACTTGTTGTATGCAGTACTCCCTCAGTAGTTGCTGACAATGACATCGATTGTCCTCGAGGACTCACACAGTCCCGTGGGCTTGCAGTGTGTATGCATTTGAACTATGAGTGTATGTGTCAATAATAATATATCTAAAGCATTAAATTACATACATCCCTTGCCATAATGTTGGTCTTAGGGGTACATGGATGTGCATTATAAAACACATGCATTACATACAAAGAAAATTTGTAAATGAAAATAGGAAGCTTGCAATCAATCTTCACAAGACATGATAATTCACAATTGCAGTTGTAGTTCTTGTTATGCTAGGCATTGGTTTATGTGTAGAAGTACAGATTACTGTGTGTATTTGGCTTGTCTACTAAGTCGGAAATAGCAATCAGTTGTGCACACATGGTTTGCTCCATGTTATTCAGTTAAAAACAGACTATAATTATTCATATAGCCTCAACTAATGAAATTACATAAATGGTTGTAAAAAGTTGGGTTTTTTTAACATCTATATGTGAAAAAGATGGAACTGTTGTAGTAGTTATATTCAAAATAATTACGTAAAAAAGTCTTAATTTAAATTGCATAGATAATCTTGTTCACCCATAGAAGTTTCACTTCGTGTATGAGCACTGAACTGGCAACATGCGACTTGATATCTCTGCAGAACAATTAATTTCAAATTTATACCAGTATTTCATACTGGAGAAACAGAGCGGGAAACCTCTCATCAGCTATGACAGGGTTTACTATAGAATGTGTAAATCCCTTAATTTGACATATTGTTAGGTTTACAAAGTTGTAATCAAATCAGTTACCTCAGGGGTGCAGTTTATAAACTGTATGAATGCAAAATCCCACCGATGTGTGCTAAAACACAAGATGAGATCAAAGATACAATAAATGTCTTGAAAACAACACTTATAGCTCTGGTAGAAATGGGGTTCAGGTACACAAAAGGGGAGATTACAGAGGTCACAGAGCTGTGTTTAGAGAAAAGTACTCAATCCTGTCCATGCGATCAGCTTATCTCAGAACAGTTGAAGAATATTGCAGTTTGGGGTTTCAAATTATATACCTTGATGAAACCTGGTGTAATAAAAATCACTCAACCGATCGGATGTGTCTTCCTTCAGATTGTTCTAAGGCACCAGTGTTACCATCAGGCAAACGTAGATGCCTGATCATCTTGCATGCTGGTACCCGTAGCAAGGGACTGATTGGGGGTTGTGACTTTGTTTTTGAGGCCAAGAAATGTGATAGTGATTACCATAGTGAAATGAATGGGCAGGTATTTTTGGATTGGTTCGAACATCAGCTTTTCCTGCAGCTGGACGCACCAAGCGTTATCATTTTGGATAATGCCAGTTACCATAACCTGCGTGTCCCTGGTACCATCACACCCATCATGAGCAATCTCAAGGCTCAGTTGCAGGATTTTCTCACTTCCTGTAACGTGCCTTACAGGCAATAAGAAACAAAGCCCCAGCTCATGGAAAAAATCCGGCAGCACAAAAAGCCAATCCAGTACATCAATGACGAACTAGCTGCAAAACAAGGCCACATAGTTCTGCGTACACCAGTACGGCACTGTGAGCTCAATCCCATTGAGCTGATCTGGGGTAACTGTAAGAATTTTATTGCTCGCAGTAATACCACATTCACGCTTTCAGATGTTAAAGAGCTTGTGCATGCTTCTTTTGCGAGAATTACCACAGAAGTGTGGCAAAAGGCTGAAAACCATGTTCTCAAAATCGAGGACGAATACCGTCTGCGGGATGGCGTTAACGTCAGCCAGTTGCACCAGTTGTAATTCCGCTAGAGTCCTCGACCAGCAGTGATACTGACACTTGATACTGACACTTGAGACGGTCCCTGACATGCACTGCCCGTGCGTTACATAACGCTGTCACCCTGTCTGCCTGCCAGGTGGGTCACAGTATAGTTTGTTTCGTTGAAGTGTTTCTACCCTGGAATTTTGTCTAAGTTTTACGATATTTTACGAGTAATCATTATGATTAGGGAATGGTACATTGTGATTACTCATATGCCATATTAGGTTGAGGTGGTATGAATGATTATATACTACTCAAAACAAGTTAAGGGTCATGCGATGTCATCAAGTAATGTTATTGATGAGGCTGGTTGCATTATGTATAAATAAAATTTTACATTCCGTGTATGACAGTTTATTCAAAACCATTGCAGAACCTGGATAAAGGCTACAGATAACCGTGGTGCCAATAGTCATCATGTGGTAGGGTGTTAAAAAATGAACAAATTGAAACACCGAGTGCTTCACAGAAGCGCCACCACTGTGCGTGTGAAAGATGATGTTTCATCATGAACAACATGTGCACGTGTTCTTCGTGGGATTAGTGCTGTGAATGCTTATTTTCCCTATAAAACTTGTAATTGTCACATTGTTATTGTCACTTGAAATTCAACAATGGCAAGACGTCAACTCAGCATGACAGACAGAGGAAGAGCTCTTGTGTGGCTTCAAGATGGTGAACCTCAACGCAGTTAGGCTCAGAGACTAAATGTGAGTCAGAGTCATTGGAAGGTTATGGCACCGGTTTCGTGTCACTGGAACGCTAAATAATCGACCACGTACTGACAGGCCTCCATCAACAACTCCTACAGAAGACCGATACCTGACAAATATGGCTCTCCCACAACGCAGAGTAACTGCCAGACAATTCCGTGACCAACTGAGAACTGCCACAAGTACCCTGGTATCTGATCAGACTGTCAGGAACCGACTGACGAGGAACAATCTTTGGGCACAGTGACCAGCAGTACGACCACCGCTCCTTCAGCGACACACGACGGCAAGACATGACTGGTGTAGATGCCATGTTCGCTGGCAATGTGCTCAGTTGGCATCAGTTCTTTTCTCCGACGAGTCTAGGTTTACTCTACAGTTCAATGATGGTAGACCTCGTGTGTATCGGCGTCCAGGAGGGAGGTTTGCTGACGTTAACGTCAACCAACGTTTGCCATTTGGAGGCGGGGGTGTCATGGTTTGGGGTGCGTTTTCCTTTCATTAAAGGACACTTCTCTATGTCATTAATGGTACCCTGACCGGAAATCGCTATCTACGGGAGATTATCAGACCCCTTGTTTTGCAATGTTTACAACGTATCGGTGTTGGATCCATATTCGAAGGTGGCAATGCCCGACCACACCGCGCCCATGTTGTGACAGACTTCCGTAGACAGAACAATGTTCAGCACATGGAATGCCCGGCATATTCAGCAGATTTAGCCCCTATGGAACATGCTTGGGACGAGTAAGGACGCAGGCTTCGTAACAACCACGCCCCTCCAAAGAACCGTGCAGAACTGGCCCAGTATCTCATTGCAGAATGGTAGACAATACCCCAAGCCTTCTTCCAACATCTGGTGAACAGTATGAGACAGAGGTGTACTGCTTGTCTTACTGCTCGAGGTGGTTACATCCGTTATTAGTCCGATGTTGGCGTTTGAATTTTCACTTCTGACAGTAGGTCACTTTGACCTTATTGATCAGCAATTACTGACATTCCTGCTGTTTTTGTCTCCCGTTATGGTTATCATGAAATGTTGGCTCGAGTTGTTATATGATCGCTACATGTTACTTTTACATATATTTGTAGTTATGGCCATTAAAAGTTTTGACCCTTAACTTGTTTTGAGTAGTATATATGAGTTTTGAATCTGAAATATCAACCATTATCAAATAATTGCCAAAAAGCATTTTCCAAGCATTTCTGGCCTTACTTTAGTTGTTTTTGTGTTCTTGAAATGTTATTTTGCACATACTGTGCATATATTATGTTTATTTTAAAAATACTGTTACACTTTTTGGTATTTCTAATATCAATCCTTCAGAAAGGACTATATGAGGAAGAGTAAGAGAATCATGTGACGTCTACGAAATTTAGAAAAAGACGTTTTTAAAACGTCAGAGTGGAACAGTAGAAGCGTGGCAAACTGTGTGCGCTGCCTACAATGGAATACCGATGTCAGTAGTTGAAGTGAAATTACTGTACAGCTGGAAGAAAGCACCTGAAGAAACGGACTACAGAAATCTGGTGCATGCTGTATTGACTGTAGAACCCCATCGCAGCTCTCGGCTAGGTTATTATGTCGTAAGGTTTTGTAGAGGTCATTTCGTAGACTTATGCAGCCTAGATACGTAACTAAAGTAAAAATTTCTTATCGTTTAATGGGGAGGTTTCTTGGCAGTATGTAAATGACAGTGTATGGGTCATATACTGATAAAAATATATGAATGCAAATAGGTAGGAACATCTTCCTGTGTTTACAAACAGCCCTTTTCAATGTGTAAACGAGTCAGAATTAACCATCAGGAATATGGAGAAAAATTTGTGCTCATCTGTCATACATTAGGCTAAGTATTATTCGTTACACTGCTATACTGAGTCTAACAAAACCTAGTAGAAGGTTAGGGTTCAGCGGGACTTAAAAAAAATGGTTTTTTGGATTTTCTCTTACCTGGTCGCTGACACTGATCTATCAACAAACGAAAATTCGCATAAAACACAGATATTTGACCT